GAAAAAATAAGAACCAAGATGCATCATGTAAAGGTACAATTCCCAATGAGAAATGTAATTGTGTTGTATACCTACAATGTACCAATAAAAGAATTTAATAAAAAATAAAAAGAAAGGAAGCTAGGAGGAGGAAAGGCCAACATCATCTCTCTGAACATAGAACAAAAGAAACTTAACCAAGTTTTCCTTTCAGAAAGAGCACTAGGCTATGAGAAGACATAATATACATAATGTCTTCAAGTTTCCACAAGGAAAAAGATCTCATGATAGCCTTCTAGACAAGATGAAGAAAGTAGGCTACATGAGTGTCATGGTAATTAGGTAGAAGCCTGGATAGATAATTACAGTGAAAGAAGAGGAGGATAAGTTGGGTGTGGTGATGTACCCTTGTAATTCCAGCTTTTGGGAGACTGAGACAGAAGGCTCACCATGAATTCCAAGTCAGCCAGGGCTGCATAGTGTGTTCAAGTCCAGCCTGGAATACACAGTGAGAGCCTCTTTCAAAAAACCAGAAAAAGAAAAAAGAAAAGAAAAGAAAGGGAAGTTGATGTCCCTAGTGCTCTACTGATTTACCACAGGGCTCTGACGCAGTTACCACTTTTATTAAAGACCAGATAAAGTTACAGAGTTACAAATCCAAAGGCATTTACAAGTTAGAAAGTAAAATGTTAACAAAGCTTTGGGCAGCAGAACAAAGATTCTAAGTAGGCTAAAACAATGCATAAGATCAACATGAAGACATTAACTATGAATAAAATACTTCAGGTTAGGTTAAAAATCAATAAGTTATAAGACAGTAAAGATGTACTTTACTAGCAAGTCTTGCAAATAAAAAAATGTTTTAAAGATTGAACTGGTTTGTAGTTATAAGAATGGTGATATAATTTCAGGCTGTAGAAGAAACAGGAGAATATCTTCTGGACTCTAAAGTAAGAAAAGGTTTCTTAATACAGAAGAATGTTAAGCATAAAGGAAAAGTTTGATAAATTTTGGCAATATTCAACTTAAGAAGTTCTGTTCATCAAAAGTTATCATTAAGAAATGATAAGTCAGGGGCTGGAGATGTAGCTCAGTGGCACCATGTGTGCTGCACAAGCACAAGGTCCCGAGTTTGATACCCGGTACTGGAAAGAAAAAAAAAAAGCAATGATAAAGCAAGCTATATAATGAAAGATGTTCAAAATGCATACAAATAAGACTCAAATAGAAATATATAAAGAATACCTACAAGTCAATTAAAATATCAAACAGAGTATACAATTTAAAAAACGAAAAGGTGTGTAATCTCATTAAAAGTCAGGTAAATGCAAATTTAAGCCATGATTTCATTCTGTTTAGACAATAGAATACTACAGAACAATAAAAAATGTGTAAACTATGCCATTGTTACTTGAGTGAAATGTTTTTACTAATGTGTATTAATTATACAAAATATTGTGTTACACTGTGACATTTTTATACACGCATATATTTGTATCATATCCTTCCTATTATCCTCCCTTATCCTCTTCTTTCACTTCCCCTCCCCTTCTTTTTATCTACTAATCTCCCTTCTACTTTAACACAAAAGAATCTTAAAAGTACAATATTTTTTTTCTTAAATTCTTTGATTGGTACATTTTAGGTATACAACACAATTACATTTCTCATTGGGAACTTGTACCTTTACATGATGCATCTTGGTTCTTATTTTTTCCCCATTCCTAGCCCTCCCTTCATGCCCTCCACCCTTCCCTATTTT